ATACTTTTATCAAACAAGTCATTACAATTGCAACGATTCATAATTTCACGGGCTAATATTGGGTTTGTGCGATTATTGAACATATTCATACTGAATATTGTTATTTGATTCCATTGAGATGGAACATTCATCCCGCAGTGGACAGCTTGATCCTAATACCACCAAAGTGTTAATCAAGTAATTTTAATCCCATCCTGATCCTGCACCTTCCGTTTCACATATCACATCCTTGGTTCGCACGTCCATATTACATACATACATGTTACATACATGCATGTACCATGTTACATACATACATGTTACATGCATACATGTAACATGCACATATACTTACTACAAACAGATATGTTCCATACATACATGTTACATACTTACGACTGTAGTGTGATTCGAAGAGGACCACGGAGTGATTCGAATAATTCGAATGCGATTCGAAAATCACACTTCAAGGTAGGTTGTTGTAATCTATAACACTAGTTAATAATGTTATTGTATAGCGTTATAATGTATAGCTCATAGGTTATATTGTTAGAGTTCACATACTAGTTTACAGTAATTTGAAGATTCTTCAAATGTATATGTGAATGTTTTTAAGTTACCATTGTTGAAGTTCATAATGTTAAAGTTCACAGTGTGAGAATTTACAATGTGAGAGTATATCCAAGACGTCGATCGATGGCGTTGGTCTGGTAGGTTCGATCATAGTTTTTGATCAAAGACGTCATCCCATCACGGGACACCAACATGCTGCGTATATAACAGTAACAGAAGCAACTACAGCAGCTACGAAACCATTCGATGGCAAAGCAGCGACTTCTTCTTCAATCTGAGAGTTTGTGGCCGTGCCCTGTTCTCGTGGGACCCGACACGGATTTGGAAATAATTGCTATGATCATGTCTGAGCTGGAATGAGCGACTAATGTTTACTTTGTTTAATCATAACTGTGTGTAGGTTAGTGTCATCGGTGCTTAGTGAATACTACTCATGAATGAACTCATACTTCTTTCGGATAGAAATTTGATATCGTGTTGGTAGAACAAGTCGCCTGCCTTTTCTAGACGAATTGTTATTTTCAAGTGCGTCCGTAAATATATTGCTAAAATACACAGCATAGGGAAGGCTGCCTTGTTGGGGAGATGTAGTTTGGCTAAGGCGCTGTGGCCGGGTGATGACACGGATTCTGAAACAATGGAGTTAAACACTCGCTGCTTGTCCCCATCGACAGCATTGAAGGCTGTCATATACCGCGCCATTTACGAGTTGGCTGTATGATGTGTATAGTTGAAGGTGCTAGGTGTTGTCTTCTTCTAACAGCTACTAACGTGCCTGTGTTGTCTGTTTTTAGGATTTGTCTACTGATGTTGTTCTTTTAATTGCGGCGTTTTTATGTTGAGTTCTGTCACTTGAGTGTTGCAATTTGTTTAAGAATACGTCATGTGAGCGTGGTGTTTTGCTTGTTGGAATTTCGCTTTGTTACAATTTGTGATTGTTATAAAATCGTAAAGATTCAGAATCTCATGAGTTAAGAATGGGTTTGTGCGTGATTCTTATACGACCACACTGTGATTCTAATGCTTCTAATGATATTTTAATACCTTATCTCCGTTTATATGGTTATAAATTAAAACACTAGTTTATAATCGTTTAATGTTTAGTGTTATCGTTTATAGTATTACAGTTTACATGTTATAGAGTACAGTTTATCCCCGACATACTTCGGGAATTAGGGACTGGTAGGTTGATGAGCGATTAACTACGGGGACCTTTCCCCTCAAGGAACACGTGTTAATCGCGTAGACAGCCAAGATGCTGCCGGTTAAGGGCACACTTGTGTGACGGAGATCCTCCACCTGAAACTCGCTTAACATGTTTTTGCTAGGAACATTATAAAATAAAGAACATTTGTTAAAAATACGTTTTTATTCATCTGCAATCACTTTTACGTGAAAACTCGAAGGGAATATTTATTACATTTCCAGTACAATGCAAACTATTTCCGTTCCAGGAATACCAAAGCGTTAAAGTATCATTCCCCATGATTTCCTTATTAGTTCACCACATTTGTTCACTGTGGGTCTATGTTGAAGTCAAGGCCATATATCCAACGAACGCGTCATCAATGTACATCCTGAAATCGGCTATCTAAAGTTGATTAATACCAATAAAAAAGCTTTATACTTGAAAAAAAACGTTTAAAATGTTGAGTAAAGATGTACCTACATACGCATTCCAACTTTAGCTCAACAGGAACACTTAACGACTACAATTGAACAGTCTCACAACCAGTGCTCATCACACCACTTCGGCAAGTAATCCGATAACATTACAAACCACCACTGTGCACGTCAAAAACTGTAAATGGTCAAAATTATAACCAAAAAGTACTCGATACGGCTTAATAGGTATAACCACATGACATAATATTTGTTCAGTCACTCCGAGCTCTCTGGTTGACTCTCGAGCCACTCCATTACATCCAGCCATCTCTCGGGATCCAACTGCATGGGATCGAAGGTGGAAACTTCTTCAGGACCAATTGCAGCACCTTGAATTTCAGCTTTTGATTTCAGTTTCCTATCATTGTGGACCTTCTGATGCATGTTCATGGTTGATGACCGTGCAAATGCCTTCCCACACACAGAGCACAAGAATGGCTTCTCACCCGTGTGTGTTCTCTGGTGACTTTGAAGATGTGATGACTTTGCAAATGTCTTCCTACACACAGAGCACAGGAATGGCTTCTTGCCCGTATGTGTTCTCTGATGGTCTTGACAAGTTGACGAGTGTGCAAATGCCTTTCCACACACAGGGCACAGGAATGGCTTCTCGCCGGTGTGTATTCTCTGGTGACTCTGAAGATGTGATGAGTGTGCAAATGTCTTCCCACACACAGAGCACAGAAACGGCTTCTCGCCCGTGTGTGTTCTCTGGTGACTCTGAAGATGTGATGACTGTGCAAATGCCTTCCCACACACAGGGCACAGGAATGGCTTCTCACCCGTGTGTGTTCTCTGATGACTCTGAAGATGTGATGACTTCGCAAATGTCTTCCCACACACAGAGCACAGGAATGGCTTCTCGCCCGTGTGCGTTCTCTGATGAGTTTGAAGAGTTGACGATTGTGCAAATGCTTTCCCACACACAGGGCACAGGAATGGCTTCTCGCCCGTGTGTGTTCTCTGGTGGCTCTGAAGATTTGATTGCCGTGAAAAGGACTTCTCACACAGAGCAATTGAATGACTTCTTGCCTCCGTGTGCGTGGGGCTGTGGAAAGCGTCTCTGCTCCATGTGAGCGTAGTAACAGCAGCGGTGTTATCGAGTCAAAAGTACGCTATCGGCCGCAAGGATGTTTAGCGTTGAGTTTTGGATTTTGTTAACTGCTAAGACAAGAACGACACTCGCGTCTAACCGAGACGCAAAAAAAATCCCGCTAATTTAACAACGAACACGTTTAAGAGTTTATCCGCGAAAATAGACACTTACTTGGAGATTCACGGTAAATCGATGTCTGGAACCCGTCTGAAGATGTCGCCACGAACTCTCCCGACGCAAAGTCGCCTAACTGTCGACACAGCAATTGTGCTCGCCAGGCTGCGTTGTCTCGCGGTTGAAGGGCGATCAGCAGAGCGACGAGTCGAGCGTCCAACCTCATCAAGTTCCCTCTCGAAATGGCATTGAGCTCTGCTTCTGAGCCGCCTTATAACTCCCCCGCTAGGATCCAATCCTTTGTCTTTCAGGATATTTGCATTCGATTGTTAATTTTGGAAGGTACAATCCGCATGTCTATTAACATGGGTAATGTGCCCATTGTGCTTCATGCATGAATATGTAAGTGCATCTCAGTGTGTACTTGTGCGCTTATTTGGAATAAATGGGATTACCGCATTAAAAATATTTGAATAACATTATGGTCGTATTAGCGTTTACTGTGCTTGAATATAGAAGATATGTGAAACTGAAGGTGCAGGATCGGATAAAAGTTATTTGAATAACTCTTTGGTCTATTATAATTATTTTAAAGTTGTGAAAAATATCACCTATAAACTATGAACAATGCATTATAATGCTGTGAAAATAACACTATAAACTAGTGTTATAGTTTAGAACACCATATGTTGAAGAGTGGTATTAGAATCACAAAAGAATGATTAGAATCATAATGTGGCCATATTAGAATCACACGATGCTCGTATGTATGTACGTTATTTGGACATTCGTATCGGTGGTCGGATATGCGAAACGGAAGGTGCAGGATTAGGATGGGATTAAAGTATTAGAATAACACTTTGGTTGTATTATAATTACAATGTGATCGAATCAACGTTATATGTAAATGCGCAGGGCTCAATGCAATTTCGAGAGGGAAATTGATGAGGTTGGACGCTCTGCTGATCGCCAATCTAGCGCGAAACAACGCAGCCTTGTGAGCACATGTTAATAAAAAAGACAGCCAAGACGTTGCCGGTTAAGGGCAGATTTGCGTGACGAAGATCCTCAACCTGAAACTCGCTTAAAACACGTTTATTCAATGAACACGAGAAATAAATGAACAAACATTTGTTAAAATACGTTTTTATTAATCTGCAATCATTTTTACGTTAAAACTCCAACCGAATATGTATTATGTCCTATGTTCAAACAGTTACAGTACAATGCAAACTATTTCCGTTCCAGGAATACCAAAGCGTTAAAGTATCATTCCCCATGATGTCCTTATTAGTTCACCACATTTGTTCACTGTGCGTCTATATTTGAAGTCAAGGCCATATATCCAACGAACGCGTCATCAACGTACATCCTAAAGTCGATTATTACCATCCAAAAAAAGCTTTAAACTTGAAAAAAACGTTTAAAATGTTGAGTAAAGATCTAACTACAGATGCATTCCAACTTTAGCTCAACAGGAAGACTTAAACACTACAATATTGTCCGGAATTGAACCATATCACAACCACTGCTCATCACACCACTTCACCAAGTAATCCGACAACATCAAAAATCACCACCTGCACGTCAAGAAACTCTCAATCTAAAGGGTCAGAATTACACACAAAAGTACTCAAGACAGCTTAATAGGTACAACCGCATGCAACATTATATTTCAGTCACCCCGAGCTCTCGGGTTGATCCTCGAGCCACTCCATTACATCCAGCCATCTCTCGGGATCCAACTGCATGGGATCGAAGGTGGAATTATCTTCAGGACTTATTTCAGCACCTTGAATTTCACCTTTTGATTTCAGCTTCCTATCATTGTGGACCTTCTGATGCCTGTTCATGGATGATGACTGTGAAAATGCCTTCCCACACACAGGGCACAGGAATGGCTTCTCGCCCGTGTGTGTTTTCTGATGAGTTTGAAGATTTGATGACTGTGCAAATGCCTTTCCACACACAGAGCATATGAATGGCTTCTCGCCCGTGTGTGTTCTCTGGTGTCTCTGAAGATGTGATGGCCATGAAAAGGACTTCCCACACACAGAGCAATTCAATGGCTTCTTGCCTCCGTGTGCGTGGGGCTGTGGAGAGCGTCTCTGCTCCATGTGAGCGTAGTAACAGTAGCTGTGTTATCGAGTCAAAAGTACGCTATCGGCCGCAAGGATGTTTAGCGTTGAGTTTTAGATTTTGTTAACTGCTAAAACAAGAACGACACTCGCGTCTAACCGAGACGCAAACAATCCCGCTTATTTGACGACGAACACGTTTAAGAGTTTGTCCGCAAAAAAAGACACTTACTTGGAGATTCACGGTATATCGATGTCTGGAACCCGTCTGAAGATGTCGCCACGAACTCTCCCGACGCAAAGTCGCCTAACTGTCGACACAGCAATTGTGCTCGCCAGGCTGCGTTGTCTCGCGCTTGAAGGGCGATCAGCAGAGCGACGAGTCGAGCGTCCAACCTCATCAAGTTCCCTCTCGAAATGGCATTGAGCTCTGCTTCTGAGCCGCCTTATAACTCCCCCCCTAGGATCCAATCCTTTGTCTTTCAGGATATTTGCATTCGATTGTTAATTTTGGAAGGCACAATCCGCATGTCTATTAACATACCGAAGGGTGATGTGCCCATTGTGCTTCATGCATGAATATGTAAGTGCATCTCAGTGTGTAATTGTGCGCTTATTTTGAATAAATGGAAAAACTTTGTCCTCGATTTAAAGTGAATGCAGAGAAATTAGCATGTAACTTTAGACAAGGAAGAGAGCGGCCTTCTCGACGAGGGAGTGAAACCCAATAGGTAATCTTCTTCCTAGCGTTGTTCCCGCTGTGGCGCAGGGTCCGCTTTTCGGCATTGTCTTCTCCATTTGGCTCGGTCCAGGGCATCTTCAGGGGATGCGTTGACCGTCTTTATGTCTTCCTTTATTCGATCCATCCATCGCTTCTTTGGACGTCCGCGTGGACGGCGGCCCTCTGGCTCAATACGCATGGTAGTCTTGGCCACTGATGACTCTTCACTTCGCATCACATGGCCGTACCACCGAAGCCTTGCCTCAAGCATCTTGTCCGCAATGGGGGCCACACCAAGTCGATTCCGAACGTCTTCGTTCATGACACGATCCCATCGAGTGAGTCCGAGGCTCCATCTGAGCATCCTCATCTCCATGGTGTGGAGAGCTTGTTCGTGTACAGTTGTGGCTGGCCAGCACTCGGATCCATAGAGTGCCACCGGTCGGACGATGGTCTTGTAAATTTTTCCCTTCAGCCTATCCGGCATTTTCCTATCACAGAGGACTCCGGTGACTTGCCTCCCCTTCATCCATGCCGCATTGACTCGTGACCTCACATCAGTCGTGATGCTACCATCTGAGCTGATGGTGGAACCCAGGTACTTAAAGTCCGTCACTTTCTTCAGATCTTCTCCGTCAATGCTGATGGTGCCGTCGGTTTGGGGGCCACACTCCATATACTCCGTCTTTTGATGTTGAACCTCATCCCGTTTTCGTCCAAACGTTCCTTCCACAGGCGCGTTTGTCTTTCCACTTCTCCTCTCTCTTCATCTGAGAGGAGGACGTCATCCGCGTAGAGAATTGACCATGGCAGGGGCGTGTGCAGGTCGGCAGTGATCGTGTCCATGCACAGGTTAAACAGGAGTGGTGACAGGGCCGATCCTTGGTGCACTCCAACGCTGATGGGAAATGGCGGTGATATGCCCACTGCACACCTGACTGCACTGGTGACGTTCTTGTATAGGAGTTGCACCCAATGCACGTAGGTTTCAGGGACTCCATGGGATCGAAGCGAGTGCCAGATGAGGTCGTGGGGGACCCTGTCAAATGCCTTTTCAAGGTCGAGGAACGACACGTGCACAGCTTTGTTCTTCTCTCTGTGCCTCTCCAGCAGGAGCCTCGCCGCGAATATGGCGTCCGTAGTGCCACATCCTTTGACGAAGCCGCATTGGTTGGGTGATAGGGTGACGATGTTTCTAATCCTCGTGTCCAAAACTCGGTCAAAGATCTTCATCGCCTGACACAGGAGCCGGATTGGCCTGTAATTCGAGCATTCTGCCACGGCCCCTTTACCCTTCCAAATTGGATCCGTCGTGCTGGTCGACCAGGCTTCTGGGACCTCACCGGTGCTCGTGATGGTGCTGAAGAGTTGGGTAAGGAGGGCAGCACCCTGCCTGCCAAGGATCTTCCAGGCCTCAGCAGGGATATCGTCCGGGCCAGTCGCTTTCCCATTCTTCATTCTCTTGATAGCTTGTTCCACTTCGGTGATGGTGATAGGTGAAACCGGATCGAGGACGTGTTCAGCGCTAATAATAGGTGGGTGGGGAAATTCCTGGTTGCAGATTCCAGAGAAGAAGTCGCTCCAGCCTTGAAGGATGGCGGGCGGGTCTCTGAGAGCCCTGTGATTCTCATCCTTTATGCATTTGACCTGACCAATATCCTGAGTCGAACGATGGCGCGCCTCTGCCAGTCGATAGATCTTATTGGCACCTTCTGGGGTGTCCAGTTCGACATACAGTTGGTCGTATTGAGCTCATTTCACCGCTGCTACTACTCGCTTCGCTGCCGATTTGCAGTTTCTGTATTGTTGGTAATCCAGATCTGCGAGCGTTTTGCGCCACTTCTTAAAAGCTAGCTTCTTCTCTTTCACTGCTAGCTGAACTTCTTCGTTCCACCACCATATTTGCTTGTCAATGAAGTGTTTTGCCGGCTTAGTTAGCCCCAGTGCTTCCGTTGCTGCTGTGCACAGTTGGCCGGCGAGATCTTCCCAAATCGCATTCGCTGGTCGGTTGGTGTTCACGTCAATCTGATTGAGGGCGACTCTCAGTGAGGAGGAGGGCAGCGCTGGCTCAGATCTGTGAAGAGACAACACGACACCGTTCTAGATTTGAAGCTTTCGTGACTGCAATGATTCATATTCTTAGGTTTTTTCGGTGAAGTCACGTAGGTAAAAAACATTAAAAAGTAAAATAAAATAACATAAAATAAAAATAACGACGTTTCGGAGGCAACACAAGCTTCCGTCTTCAGGTGGAACCGTCACAGCCACGACAGCTGTATCAGGTAAATGAGAGATTGCAGAAGCTGCCACTTCGTTTATATAATGGTTGGAGAAGGTGGTGGGGCAAGGGCCGCATACTTTTATTAATATGGTAAGGTGAGGCTTAAGACTAAGAATAGACTGCATATCAAAGGCTGAGCCTTTGTCATGGAGAGGTGCGGTTTGTGACTCAACCTGTAACAGGGAGACCACCACTAGACATGGTAAAACTGATGGTTGTCTGTCAAACACGACACCGTTCCACCTTGCTGCTACGGCAGACATCGCCATCTCCCCATCGTCCGTGGGTGGAATGTGTGGCGGATTAATTCGAGCTGAATAGAAACAGCAATAACGACATGGCCAGTGAGTGTGCTTAGTATTGGTGCTGTCATTCTCATGGCGCCAGGCTATCCTTGAGATAGGTGCAGCTGTGTCTCACACAGACTGCTGTAGTATCACAGTAGTGGGTGGCGTTGCTGTGCAAATTTAGCTGAATAATTTGAAGTGACATTTTTTTGGTTCTTTCGGTAAAGTCAAGTAGGTATAAAATAAAATAAATTAAATCACAACGTTTCGATTGTAACACAAGCAATCATCATCAGGTGGGAAAACCACAGCAAGAAACGTTCTTGCAATAACGACATGGCCATCGAAACGTCGTGATTTAATTTAATTTATTTTATTTCATACCTACGTGAATTTACCGATATAACCAAAGAATATGGATCCCTGTAGTCACTAAAACTTCAAATCTAGATTGAACATATTCTATATGTATATTCTAATTGACCCCTTGCACATAATGTCCTAAGCATTTCAAATGGCATCGATAGAGATCCTGAACGTCCACTGTGACGGAATGGGTGTGTATGTGTGTGGTTAATGCAGCAGCAATAATAGCCAGGGCGGGAAGCAAGATCTGAACTGTAATGATGAAGAATGAGTGCACGACAATTTGGTCGCTTCAACACATCCACGATTTCAAAAAAGTGTCCGTCAGTGATTTGTGGTCGAGAGAGCCACCTCCCTTGACGTCGAAGGCATCTCAGAGTGCATTGCATGCGATGAGCCTCTCGCATCTCTCATCTCATCGCGTTTTAAATTGGACACCCCTCTCAGTGGTAGCTGTCGCTGTACATTACAAAGCGACTTGGCAGCTGGCCTGGAAACAGGCGATAGACAGCGAAAATATCACGGTGGATGGAGGGTTACATGGTGAAGATATACCCACTTCGTTATGTGGTATAACCCAGAAACCAGTTATTAAAAATAAATCTGTCCACAGTATAGCGGAATGTACACGTGGGGTTTGCAGTGTCTGTGAATTTTGAGAGCGCGACAGGGCTTGAGCACCTGTGCGTCACAGCAACATTGACCTGGGTTTGATTACTACGTTTGGCCACATTCTCCGTGTGGATTATGCAGCCACCTGTTCTGGGCAGGTTCTGCAGCTTTCTCCCTGTTACTGAACCCACACAAGCAATGCAAATTGTTCAATTTGGATCGCAAACAGTAGCAACTTTCTTGCAAAATGCGAGCAAACTTGGCAGAATCCTCCTGAAAAAAGTCTTGAGACCGAGTAAGGCTGATGCTGCGTGAGAAGCATGGTAACAAATAACAAAAATAAACACACAGGGCGCACACGCAGAGTGGTTTACCGTGGCTCAGCGACTCCGGAGTTTGCTTTATCTTCTTGGAAGCCCTCTTCTCCAAAGCTCGGAGCTATTGGGCCCCACACAGGATTGGAGGACGTGGCGGCGATGGCGGCGGTGGTGGAGGTGGTGTCAGTGGTAGTGGTGCTGCTGCTGGTGGTATCTGTCTGGAGCCATTGTCGCTCGATCTTGGCGAGGCGCTGCTCCTCCTCGAGGCGCTTTTGCTCCACAAGACGCTTCTCCTCCATCAAGTGCTCCTCCTCCTCTTGACGCTTCACCTCAACGAGGCGCTTCTCCTGCATGAGACGTTTCTCCTCGAGGAGCTTCAACTTGCGAAAGCGCCTCTCCTCAAGTCGCTTATTTT